TTTTTTTTTGTTTTTGTTTGTTTGTTTTTTGTAGATCTCCCTTTTTCACCCAGGCTGGTATTCAGTGGTGTGATCATGGCTCATTGCAGCCTCAACCTCCTGGGCTCAAGAGATCCTCCTGCCTCGGCCTCCTGAGTAGCTGAGACTACGGGAACCTGCCACCACGCCTGGCTAATTTTTGTATTTTTTGTAGAGACAGGCTTTCACCATGTTGTCCAGGCTAGTATTAAACTCCTGGACTCAAGCAATCAGCCCGCCTCAGTCTCCCAAAGTTCTGGGACTACAGAAGTGAGCCACAGAGCCTAGCCTCAGGTTGTTGACTTTTGAAATAATATAGAATAAGGCTTTGTTTTATAAGAACCCTAAAAATGTTTGATGATAGCCTTTGTGTCTCCTGAAATCATTTCTACTCCAGGCAAAACCTGTTCCTGTTACATTTCTTGTATGCTTTGTTTTACAATTCCTCTTCTTGTATTGATAATAGTTCTGTCCTGTCCAATGTCCCTCTTAAAATTTGGTCCCAACAATGAAACATAAACCTGTGCAGATTACAGAGAGACTGTGTGCTCTGGAGACTATGAAAATGGATGTAACCTAAAATTGCCTTTTATTTTTTTAGCAGTCATACCATAGGCTCAGGTTTAAATATTAAAACTCCAGACTTCTTCCGTGGAACCACTATTAATCCACCCTGTATTGCTTTTTATCTTGTGAACTCTAAATCTCATAACTGACTGAGTTGTCCTCTCATGTTGGCTGCTAAGAAACTCAACCAGATGTGACACCTACCTCTCATAAGCCTTTAAAACCTTGTATTTACTAATCTACCCTGGCTTCATTTTTTCCCTCTCTTTTTTTTTCTACCCAATTTAATACTTTTCTGTATTAATCTTGTTGTATGTTTATATTGTTATCACAAGTTCTTTTTTTAGTGGTGGAATATAAATTTACAAATAAGAACTTAACCTTTTTCTGGGTAATTGTAAACTCTTGTTTATATTATTAACATTCCCTCAGTTTATATTCCTCTCTCGAAAAGCAAATTATGATGCCGGTATATTTGAAGTCATTAGCATTGCCTCTACTGCCTATATTTTCATTCTTTTTTTTAAGTGCTTAGTAAATACACTCCGAGTATATAATTGTGTCCAAGAATGTATGCATTTGAAACATGTATAGCCTGTCATTTAAAATATCTGTACATAGTCTTTGTAAACCTCATCTGTGTGGCTGCATGATATTTCAGAGATTGATGGTCCATGGTTTACTTACACATTCCTTTGTTCTAGATTTTTATATTGTTTTTAGTTTGGTTATAGATAATGCTGCAGTAAACACCTTTTTGTGTAAAACTTCCTCCATTTTTACATTGTCCTTAGAATAGGTTTTTTAAAATGTATAATTTATATTAAAAATATAGTAACTGTATGTCTGAGGTTTTTATTGATTTTTTTTTTTTTTACTCAATTTTTTTATTGAAGTGGTGAATTTATATTTTACGTTATGAAAGAGTTGATCCTATGGTATGAAGACTTGCAAAAGAGCTGTAGGTAAGATTGTATCCTTTGATAATATGTAAGTAAGTGCAGTGACATTTAACACTCTCCCTTTTGTCTTTCCATAGCTGGATAGAACTTATACTGGCTTGCAGACTCTTGGAGCAGAGACGGTAGGTTTTTTTCCCTACAGTATTATCTGGGAATGAGTAGGATGAAAGTTGATCTTCATTTTTGTTTGTTCATTTGTTTGTTTGTTTGTTTGTTTTTGAGGCGGAGTCTCGCTCTGTCGCCCAGGCTGGAGTGCAGTGGCCGGATCTCAGCTCACTGCAAGCTCTGCCTCGCGGGTTTACGCTATTCTCCTGCCTCAGTCTCCCGAGTAGCTGGGACTACAGGCGCTCGCCACCGCGCCCGGCTAGTTTTTTTGTATTTTTTTTTAGTAGAGACGGAGTTTCACCGGGTTAGCCAGGATGGTCTCGATCTCCTGACCTCGTGATCCACCCATCTCGGCCTCCCAAAGTGTTGGGATTACAGGCTTGAGCCACCACACCTGGCCTGTTTGTTTGTTTTGAGACGGTGTCTTCGCTCTGTCACCCAGGCTGG